AAAAAAAAAAAATGGTTTAGCCAGTGGTTCTCAACCTTCTGCCCTTTAAATACAGTTCCTCATGTTGTGACCCAAACATAAAATTATGTTCATTGCTACTTAATAACTGTAATGTTGCTACTGTTATGAATCGCCATGTAAATATCTGATATGCAGGATGGTCTTAGGCGATCCCTGTGAAAGGGTTGTTCGACTGCCAAAGGGTCACGACCCACAGGTTGAGAACAGCTGATCTAGATTTTTTTTTTCTTTAAGTTCCTTATGTGGTTCTGCAAACCGAGGTTTGAAAACACCTTCTACAGATAACATTCCATATTATCTTTTTAAAGAAAAGTTGGCCTCCTTCCCTCAGCCTTTCAATTTTCATGCCAAAGTCCTTAGCAGCATTCTTGACTCCCACCATTTATTCCCCATATCCAATCAGGAAATCCTCTTGGCTCTGCCTTCTAATTATATTTAGAATCTTTCCACTCCTTACCCCTTCCACTGCTAGTACCCTAGAACAAATCATCTCTCAGTAGGATTATTTCAACAGACTCCCTGCTTCTCTCCTTCCCTCCTTTTGTTAATTCTCAACATAGCAGCCAAAGTGATCCTTTTAAAACCTAAGTTACATCTTGTCACTGCTCTACTCAAATCCCCAATGGCTTCCATTTCACTGTTATAAACCCTTATCTGCCCTATCAGGCCACACATGCAAATAAGGCCCTTTCCTCTCTGATATCTTCTATTATTCTTTTCCCAGCCATACTGGCCTCCTTGGCTACTCCTGGAACATACCAATTACACTATTGCCTTACAGCCTGTGCATATTCTGTTCCCTCTGCTAAGAAAACTCTTCCCCCAGACATCAGCATGGCTAACTCTCTCACCTTCTTACAAGTCTTTATCAAATGTCATTTTCTACATAAGGCCTAGCCCCGTGGTCGGCAAACTGCAGTTCGCAAACTACATGCGGCTCTTTGGCCCCTTGAGTGTGGCTCTTCCTAAGCTTTAGGAGTACCCTAATTAAGTTAATAACAATGTACTTACCTATATAGTTTAAAAATTTTGGCTCTCAAAAGAAATTTCAATCGTTGTACTGTTGATATTTGGCTCTGTTGACTAATGAGTTTGCTGACCACTGGCCTAGCCCAACCATTCTATTTTAAATTGTAATCCATATTCCTTGTCTCTCAGCATTCCAGAGCTCCCCTATTACCCTACAGAGATTTCCCCACTAAAGCACTTTTTAATCTTCAAACTTACTACATAACTTATTTATTTACTATATTTATTACTTATTTTTGCATTCTTCCATTAGAATATCAGCTCTATGAGGGCAGGAATCTTTATTTTTTTAAAATATATTTTTTATTAAGATATTACGTATGTGTCCTTGTCCCCACATTACCCTCT